TTTTACTCGTATTGAGTCGTTCCATCTTAGTCTTCACCCCTGACAGATGACAACATGTTTACCTATATTTTGATTCTTAATCGAAGGTAGACGTAGCAGTCTATGGTTTAGCTAACACATAAGTAAGTGGATACTTGTGTGATACATTAATAAAAAAATTATTTCATCAGGTTACGAAACAAAGTTTTACTACAGATATTAATTCCTTATTTGGTATAATATTATCTACTCTGTCAACCCAAAATCAATCTACCGTTAGGCAAATCAGCATTTTTATACAGCGAAGCGAATTTTCCATATCACGGTTGCTTTTTATACTCGTAGTATGAGTAAATTGCACATCACTTTATTAGCTTCAGTTAGATGGGATTTCTATTGAAAATATGTATTTCAATAGAAAAACCCTTCTAACCGATACTACCAGCTACCTTTACTTGAATTTATTAATAAAGCTTATACTTATGCATTTATATATGTTATGTACCGTATTGCCGTGTAGTGGCGGTTAAGAATATCCATTACCCCATATCTTCCTGTAGGTGTCGTAAAAGGCGACAAAGGGAAACAGGCAGGAGATGGGCAGCAGTATGTTCCTGGTAACGACAAAAATACAATAAAAAACTGCGGTTGCCAACCCGCTCGCCAAGCGTGGCAACTATGGCAATATACTCCCCATGATGAAAGTTACGAAGAGACGGCCCTCAGTGCCCGGTGGCCCCGCTATTCCTGGCTACGGTGGCGACCATGGTAACGGCGGGGCAGGGGGTGTTAAGAATCTCCGGTGGAGGTTCGGTTGCCACCTACGACGACTCGACCTGGCAACATAAAACGCACGCATCCTGAGGACTGATGAGAAGATAGTGGAGATGGAAGAAGAGATAGACAAGTTACGCTGGCATATTATAGGATTATCCGAAGTCCGAAGAGAGGGGGAGGACACGGTAATCCTCGAATCCGGCAACTTGCTATATTATCGGGAAGGCGACCATTTGTCCCAAGGAGGTGTCGGATTTATCGTCCACAAGTCTCTCGTTAACAACGTTGTAAAGATTGAGAGTGTGTCGACGAGGGTTGCGTACCTTATACTCAGAATCACCAAACGATATTCGCTGAAGGTCATACAGGTTTACGCACCAACCTCGGCACACCCCGATCAGGAGGTGGAGGAAATGTATGAGGATATCTTTAGAGCCATGCATTCCTCCAAAACCCAATATACGGTGTTAATGGGAGACTTCAATGCAAAACTAGGCACAAGAGAGAACGGTGAGCTGAAAGTGGGGAAATTTGGAATAGGGCAACGGAACCCAAGGGGCCAGCAGCTGGCCGACTTCATGGAGAAAGAGGGACTCTTTATGATGAACTCTTTCTTCCAGAAGTGGGGCCCACAGGAAGTGGACCTGGTCGAGCCCCGACGGTTTGACAAAAATGAGATTGATTTCATTATGGCGACCAGACGACAACTGTTCAGTGATGTCTCAGTGATCGCGAGGGTGAAAACCGGCAGCGATCACCGAATGGTTAGAGGCACACTGAACCTAAACGTTAAGGTGGAGAGGTCTCGTCTAATGAAGTCAACGCTCCGTCCCCCTCGTGCTCTGTTCCAAAGTCCCGAAACCTTTCAACTCAAGTTACAAAACCGTTTTCAGTACCTAGAAGACTGGAATGAAGTAAACGATATGAATGACAAGCTCGTGGAAACTGTCCATGAAGTCGGAGCTAAGTTCTGCAAGAACCGCCGCAGAAGAACACAAAAACTGTCCGATCACACTCTTAATCTCATGGCTGTTAGACGGGAGATGAAGCTACATTCTTCATCGATTTAACAGCATACAGGCAACTGAACAGACAGATCTCCAAATGCATGTGGCGGGACTTACGCAACTTCAATACAGCTCGTATTGAAGAAGCGATCGAGCGGAACCAAGGCTCCAAAGTCTTTGCCAGAGATCTGTCTGCCAGAGAGAGCCAACTGTCAAAGCTGAAGACCGAATGTGGCAGCATCGTTTCCGGGGTACCGGAGATTTTGAGTGAGATTGAGAGGTTTTATGGGCAGCTGTACACGTCATCGTTGAAGCCGCACGCAAGTGTGAGTAACGATCCAAGAGCGAGTCTTATCCGACATTATTCCGATGATATCCCGGACGTCAGTCTGAGCGAGATTAGAATGGTTCTCCAGCACCTTAAAAACGGCAAGGCCTCAGGCGAGGATGGAATTACAGCGGAGCTTCTGAAAGCGGGTGGAAAACCGGTACTTGAAGTCCTTCAGAAGCTTTTTAATTCCGTCCTCCATGGTGGCATTACACCGGAGGCGTGGAGCAGAAGTGCGGTTGTCTTGTTCTTCAAGAAAGGCGACAACGCTCTCTTGAAGAACTACAGAACGATTTCCCTTCTAAGCCGCGTCTACATGCTGTTTTCGAGAGTCATTACGAATCGTCTCGCGCGCAGACTTGACAACTTCCAGCCTCCCGAACAAGCCGGTTTCCGAAAAGGCTTTAGCACCATAGACCACATACATACCCTTCGGCAAATTGTACAGAAGTTCGAGGAGTACAATTTGCCACTATGTCTGGCGTATGTGGACTATGAGAAAGCCTTTGATTCCGTCGAAATTTGGGCGGTGATGCAGTCCCTTCAGCGATGCCAAGTTGACTGTCGGTATATCGAAGTGTTGAAGTGCTTGTACAGTAGGGCTACGATGGCTATCCGAGTACAGAACCAATGTACGAAACCTATCCAATTGCAAAGAGGTGTAAGACAGGGTGACGTCATATCCCCGAAACTCTTTACCGCTGCATTGGGAGATGTTTTCAAGCTTCGGGACTGGAAAGGATACGGTATCAACATCAATGGCGAGTACATCACTCACCTTCGGTTTGCCGACGATATAGTCCTTATGGCAGAATCGCTGGAGGACCTAAGCACTATGCTCAATGACCTCAATAGTGTTTAGGTCTTAAGATGAACATGGACAAAACAAAGATCATGTTTAATGTCCATGTCACACCTATGCCGGTAGTTGTTGGGAACACTAAGCTCGAAGTTGTTGACGAGTATGTTTACCTGGGACAAATAGTCCGACTAGGTAAGTCCAACTTCGACCGAGAGGTCAATCGACGGATTCAACTCGATTGAGCAGTGTTCGGGAAATTACGGCACATCTTCTCGTCAGGTTTACCTCAAAACTTGAAAACGAGACTGTACACCCAGTGCGTGTTGCCAGTGATGACATACGGAACTGAGACGTGTTCATTCACTGCTGGCAGGATGAGGAAGCTCAAGGTCGCTCAGCGAGCTATGGAGAGGGCTATGCTCGGAGTTTCTCTGCGTGATAAACTCAGAAATGAGGATATCTGCAGTAGAACCAGAGTGACCGATATAGCCCAACGGATTAGTAAGCTGAAGTGGCAATGGGCCGGCCATATAGCTCGAAGAACCGACAACCGATGGGTAAGAAAGGTTCTCGAGTGGCAGCCTCGTACCGGCAGGCGAAGTGTAGGGCGTCCCCCCACTAGATGGAGAGACGACCTGGTAAGATATGCAGGAAGTCGATGGATACAGGTGGCTCAGGACCGTGCTTTGTGGTATTCTTTGTGGGACGCCTATGTTCAGCAGTGGACTTGTGAAGGGCTGTAATGATGATGATGATGAAAATGATGTACCGTAAAACTACACAAATATGGTCCAGATATTTCAGATTATAAGTTTGTGCTCTCCCCTCTAATTCATTGAATTACATATGTCACATGTGATAATGTTTTTAGATGAAGTAAGATGTGATAATTTAACTAATCGATGTTAAATATAAAACAATAAAAGTTCAAATAATTTTTTTTTTAATTACAATTTGGACCATTGTTGCCTGCTATATTGGCAACTTTAGACCGGATTATTATTTGTACTAAAAATGCGTATTGTGGCGTTCTGGATCATAGTTAAAACCATAATATTAAACAACTGTAATTAGTAAGAATTGAAATATGTTTATTTATCAATTTTTTTATACAAAAGTCGTCAAAATTCGTTAAGATTGAACTTTAAGTAATATAATTATTATTATTTTTGGAATATTAAAGACAATGAAATTTTTTCATATAAAAGAAACAATAATGAAATGAAATCAATCATATTTTTCTTCATAGGTTTATAGGTAGGTACATATAATTATTTATTTATTTGGTTGACCCCATTTATACTCCAGTTCCGGTACTCGAAACAACGCGCGCTTCGTGCCTAATTTTGATGGGGTTTTGATTGTCGAAATAATCTTATCCATTGGATAGAATATACAGTCCGGTTTCTCAGGCCACTTCCATGAAAATCTACAACGATTCATGCAACTAACAAACGCTCCATCTTCATCAACGGTCTTGACTTGCCCCGGCTACTTTTCGCCTTCATTTTCTACTAAAACATAATCGTCTGGCTTGGGAATAAACTGCGTAACATTCGGGATATCAACGGCAGCCGCTGCAGATTCATCTGCGATGAATTCATCCGAGAGATTAATGGTCGAGTCTGAAGCATACAAAATTTCACCTTAGTCATCGGTTTCACTCGAAGAATCTTTGATATTTTTTTAGGTTTTCGTTTAGGTGTTTTTGCTGTCTTATTTTTAATAGAATGCTCAGGTTCTCTTGATGTGTCACTCCTATTCTTTTATTTTCTAAAAATTGTATAAATTATTCTAAAACCAGTACCGGTTCTTGAAGTGGAGCGTCTGGATATCTAAACGTAGGTAAGCGTTGTAATACTGGAGCTTCATCAGTCGGAAAAATACCGGTTTTCTTAAAGCCAGCTTTGAGATTATTTACTGAGTTGTCCATGATATTTTCCCACAGCTTATTTAGCAACGTAGGAAACGTGTTTTTAGGAATAGTGGGTAGTCTTTGCCCTTCAGGTGTTTCCTTCCATTGGTCTAAGATTTGACGCCAGCGCAGTTTAAGAGGCCTAAAATAGGCCACATCCAAAGGCTTTGTAAAGTGGGTGCTATTTGGTGGTCAAGCCACAAATGCGATATTATGAGACTTGCATGCCTTTAAAACTTCCATATTTATATGAGAACTTAAGTTGTCCCCAATGAGAAGCTTCTTCCCTTCTTGCCTACGTAAAGTGGGCAGAACCAATGAAAAGAACCAATCCTCGAATGTACTAGTGTCAAACCAACCGGACTTTGACCGATTGTAACGAGTGCCAGGTGGCCCACCCTTTGTCCACGTGCTCCACATTTTGTTTGACTTGTAGTTTCCATAAGGTGGTAAAATTTCTCCAGCAGCATTGCCACATATCATTAAACTAACGGCTGCTTTCGTTGAATTTTTTATAGCTTCTGGATATTTACATCCACGCTTCATAAGCACTTTTTTATTGCTTGGTTCGTCAACAAAGTTGGTTTCATCATAATTATAAACATTTTCGGCTGGAACTCCTTGAATTTCAGTCTTCAAATGCTCAAAATACGTCCGAATCTGCTCATCGTCTACAGCTGCTCTCACCCTCTTTATATTAGAACAAAACCTTTGAGATAGTTCATTTTTGTGACTTACCTTAACGTTCTGTTCTGTCGAGATACATTTTACAATGCACCTTAATTCAAAAACGGTAATAGGGAAACCGTAATTACACATTTAGATTGCATGCTGGATGAAAGCAGTTTCTTCGGTATCAGAAAAGATACGCTGACGGCCTGCTTGTCTAACTTTATTTGTTCGTATTGCTTTTAATTTTAAAATAATTGAACTTCGAGGAATTTTATATTTTTCAGCAGCTTCGCATTGAGTTAGAATTTTATTTGTTATATCTGATAAACATAGTTCCATCTGCCGTTCACTATAACACTTATAAGCCGTCCCTCCGTCAAGAGGGTCATTCCGGCTTGCTTCTAGGACGGAATAATTATCTTATCTATCTATTATAAGTTTCATTTTCCTGTTAGTAATTTAACTATAGCACTCTCAATTATACATTTTTATTTTGTTATAGTGTTAGCAGTAATTAGTATAAGGTACGATGGGATTGGCATGTTATTTTGACAAAAATCCCAAAAAAAAAAGAAAAAAAGCCCTCCCTCCAACTTTTCTTCTCATCAACTTATCTCGTGACAACATTTTCTGTAACAAAATAAGTTAGTTTTTAATTATGCTCTAAAAAACCAGTAGGACCATAGTTGAGATCCCAGAGGGTACTTCCGTGAAAAAATCATTTTTTTATATAGGTGTATTTATACAATAAACTATACGTAAAATGAATGCCAGAATCTTAACTTACCATATGAATCCAATTTTGAAACTTTGTCTTCACTTTAACCAATATTTTCAAATAAAAGTTTACGATATTCAGTTAACGCGTTCAAACAGGTTTTTATCGGAGAAGGTCTACTAATTTGAATTAAAGAGACATTTGTTGTCCCTGAATATAACTAAAACGAACAGACGTCAAGAAATGAAAATAGTATAAAATAATAAACTAGATGTCGCTACTCGTCCATACAGCTTCAATTTTGTCGGATAGTTTTATTGGACTATAGTTGGGACCCTTCACTATAGTTGTGTAATTTTACGGTACCTAAGTATGTATGTCTATGTATGTATGTGCTTAATATGTAATATGTATGTATGCGTTTATGTGTGCCTTTATAGATGCATAATGTATCCTACATAAATAATATATCCTATTATAAACTATCTGTGCCTGCGATTTCATTCGTATAGAATCTTTGTTAGTAGTTTTTCTACGGCAAGAGCACATGAGCAAGAGTAACACGGGTCAACGGAGGCTCCAGCCAGGCCGTGGCCCGTGTTGTGTATGATCTACGGGCAGCAACGTCCAAGATGCGAGACGTCTTGTATGCGATTGTCTGCCTGACAATCGTGACAACTATGGCAAATCGGGCTGATTTTCCATAGATGTCATACGTGGATGATTCTTGTGACAATTTTGTCTCATAAAGTAATGCGAACAAAGTATTCTTTCTGACATCTTCGTTAATGCAAGTCGCGTTATTAATTGTAATTGCAAAGTTGAAGGTATTTAGCAAATTCGTGGAATAAAACACTCTATCATGAACATGAAGCGTGGCAGCTCAGAATAGATCCTTTAAATTTGATTTACCAAAAGTAAAGATTTAAGTGATAGAGATGGAGTTGTAAAGAAAAAAATAATGAACAACCCGAAATTTAAAAAAATGAAAGTAAGTTCGTTAACATGCAATACGGCAGCGCAATGAATTTTACCTTGTACAAAGAAAAACCCTTGCAGAATTATTAAGATGTTGTGCCTAGCAGCAGGACGTATAAAGACTTTTTGATTGAAGTTGAACATTTTAGTTTTTACTCTTGTAATAAATAGACGTTATTTGAAAAGGACGACTATAATATTTGTTATGATTGACATCCTAGCTGTACTTTACAACGTTTTACGAGTACGGTTAATATCTTTAAAAAAATACATACAAAAGCCTACATTTGTGCATGAGCTATTCTGCCTATGAGTAATGTAACGATCAGCACTAATTATGAAGACGCATCTACGGAAAGGAAAACACAACCGGCCTTTTATAATTATTACATTTGTGAGGAACATTTTTTTTTTGTTTCCTATGTTTTATGTAAGAATAGAAATTATATAACATTATTTAACACCATTAATTAAGATTTCTGAGATTAAAATGAAATGCATTTAATGGTTCAACACCACAATTGAGCAAACTCATATATGTATTACCTATAATTCAAATAAAATCATAACTTTTATTTGAATGAACTGATTTTAATAAAAATAACTGAATTTTACTCGAAGTTACATTTAATGATTTTGATAACGATTATTTTCTAAAAATAATTCTGTACTTTAGACGTGATACGTTTACAAAAAAAAAACAGACATAGACAGATAGAGAATTCTAAAAATTATAGAAATTTATTTAATTACTTTTCTCATAAAAATATATAATGTACAGATAAATTAATAAACAAACATAATAAATTTCATTCCTATGCGGGTGACAGCACTGTTGATGCACACCGGCCGTGCCAATATTTCTCGGGAAAACGTCGTCGAGTAACGGGACAAGCTTGTGTCTGAAGTCGAGACTTTGTTGAACAAAGCCTCGGACTAGGGACGACTAAATCTAGTCCAGTTCAATCCCCAGAAGACACAAGTTTTTGCGTTTACCGCTAAAAAGAACCGCTTCGTCGTATCTCCTCAGTTTCAAGCACTCCCCTTGTTGCCTCAGTCAGTATCGAAATCCTCGGCGTCGACATATCGAGCGAGGTGCAGTTTCATGGTTACTTGAAAGATAAGGCCAAATTGGCCTCTAAAAAGCTTGGCGTGCTCAGCAGAGCGGGACAGTATTTCATGCCAGCACACCGCATGCAACTTTACAAGGCGCAGGTTCGGCCGCGCATAGAATACTGTTCCCATCTCTGGGCTGGGGCTCCCCAGTGCCAGCTCCTTCCATTTGATCGCATCCAGCGCAGAGCCGTTCGAATCGTCGGCGACCGAACTCTTTCCGATTGGCTTGACTCACTGGCACTGCGAAGAGATGTTGCATCTCTTTGCGTATTTTATCACATTTACCACGGGGAGTGCTCTGAGGAATTGTTCGGACTAATTCCAGGCGCAACATTACACTATCGCACGTCGCGATAAATTCGCGATACCATACATACCATCTGGATGATGGTATGTATGGTATCGCGAATTTGCGGTCCACCATTGTGCGATTTAAAAGAAGTTTTCTTCCTCGCATAACTTTCTTGTGGAATCGACTACCACCAGAGATTTTTCCGGACTGATAAGACTTAGGGACATTCAAGAAAAGAACGTACTCGTACTCCGTTTTGAAAGGCCGGCAACGCATTTGCAATTCCCCTGGCGTTACAGTGGCAGTAATCACTTACCAACAGGTGTACCGTATGCTCGTTTGCCCCCTCTCCTATAAAGAATCCTGCAAATTAAATTTTTATTATATATATATATATATACCTAGTCAGGTCATAAATTCTGTCACATGTTTAATATAAAACAATTGAAACAAGTTTATTCATTATGTAACCATTTATATACCAAAATGAACTTAACAAAACATAGATTCTTATGACACTAAAGTTTATTCAAACTGACCTCCGTGATTTTGAATACAGGCCTTCAATCTGCGCGGCCAGTCGTCTATCGCAGCACGAACGAGGTCCATGTCAATATCGGCGGCTGCCTTAATCAAGGATGTCTTGAGTGACTCCAAATTGGTATGAGGCTTTGAACACGCCTTTTCCTCCAAGTGTTGCCATATCTTGTAATGTAACGGATTCAAATGTGGACTGGAGGAGGGCCAGTCTTCGTGCCGGATGAAGTCGATTTCACGCGCCGCCAGCCAGTCTTGTTCGCTCTATGAGCTGGCGCCGAATCTTGTTGGAATACCCAGTGCCTGTTATTGAACATGGTATGAGAAACAGGTTCCATAAGGTTCGTCAGGACTGTATTTTGATACACAACTGCATTCGTTTTTACACCTTTCTCACAAAAATGTACCTCTGTTAAGCCCTAATAAGAAACTCCCAACCATACCATGAGCGAGGATGGAAAATGACCTCGTTGGACACGCGGAATACGGTTGCTCGCTTCCTCACTACTGTGTGCGTATACCTTATCATTTTGTTTGTTGTAGCTCTCTTCTACGGTAAAAATTTTTTCATCCGAAAAAAGAATTCCCCGATATTTTTTTCCCACGTACCGCTTCAACAAAGCGCGGCATCTCTTCAGTCTCAGGTCCATTAGACGAGCATTCAAACGATGTCCTGTTTTTCTTCGATATGCCCGAAGCCCTAAGTCTTCATTTAACACCCTTTTCACCGTGGTTCTGCTTAACCACATCTGAAGGGCCAACAGTTTCTGCTTACGGTTGGGCTTTCTTTGAATTCGCGCCTTCACGGCTTTTATCACTGCTGGAGGCCTAACAGACCGAGGGCAACCATTTCTTAACCTGTCATCTACACTAGAGTCTTCATTGTATCGTTTGATGGTACGATAAACGAATCTTTTGGTTATATTCAAATTTTTCGGTATGTCAAAAATTTGAAATGGCGCGTAACCGCAACGATGCAACGCAATAACTGCAACACGGTCTTCTTTAAGCGTCCACTCCATATTTAAAAATAAGTAAAATTTCCAATTGCCAGCATTCTAAAAGAAAAGTTTTTACTGTGTGACAATACTTATGACCTAAGTATATATAATAGGAAAATAGATTTGAAAGTTTGATTGGATGTTTTGATATTTATATGTTTATGGCCCAATGACCTAACAACTACAGAATGGATTTCGATTAAACTTAGCAATAACGTAAATTATAACTCAGGATACAACAATGGGGGGTGCGAAGTCAGAAGTCCTCCACGTGTGCCTGGTAGTTGCGGGTCCCTCTCGATACGTCTGGAGGGAAGAGCAGATACTGGGCCGGTGCACCCTGGGCGCAGCAGTAGTCTTCCTCGAGAAATGAGAAGAAATTCTTACTCCTTGGGGAATGGTACTGCCGCGGCTAATTATTCTGACATGGGGGGGGGGTCCGTCCCGGACCAAAGGTGCGTTCCACTGCGTGACCCTCTGATCAGCAGAGGGCATAGCAGAGGAG